TTGGTTTGGAAGGACGACTTCATTTGGATAGTGACTGGGTGGTACAAAGCACATTCTACTTCTTAATAATTGACTTCCCTATACTCAATGGAATAATCAGTAACTTTGAAATTTTCTTGTAACCTTTTCCTGATCTGTGCTTCTCTACCACTTTAACCCTGACTTGTTTAGAAAGCTTCTTGGTTGGTTGGTCGTATCACTACGTGAGTTGTGACTTGAACAGATGCATTTACTCTGAAGACAGAGACCATTACACTAATTTTGTGACTTTTGAAACTAGTTTTTTTTGCACCTGATCTGATTTAGGGTTGCTTAGCAAAGGGGTTAAATACTTATGCAATTGAGAATATTCTAATTTTCTTTGAATATATAACTTACATCATATCAGCGTTTTTAGCTTTCTCAGTCTGGAGTTGATTGTGTAAATTTTATAGATAAAGTCTTATTTGAAATTTTCATGATTGCAAGCTCAGACGGAAACAAAATGTGGAAACTTTGCTGGGGGTGGGGTTGAATACTCTTGCAAAGCACTGTACTTCGCTAGTGGTACATGAGGTCACGTACCCAAGATGCAACTATGGATATATTGGACCAACCACTAGAGGATTTTGGAGTCGAATAAACGTTGAAATCTACACCATCACTAATATTACCAGCCACTATCTCAGCTCCTAAAGCGCAAATTTTGGACGCATCCCCAGGGGAGACGCGGAGAGCCTAAAGAGGGCGCAGCTATGACAACAGGAGCATTTAAAATTTATCTGAAAGTACAAATTTAAGAATAAAAAATATTAAAAATTACCGTATAAATTTTAATACTATTAAGTAATACAGTATCAACAATTAACATGGGAAAATGTTAGTGGATGCTCAACAACACGCACACTTAGAAAAGTTTGTACACCACTGGTCTATTTTCTTTGTGGTATTCTCGTTCCCGGGAAGATCTCTACTTTAGAATACTAGAATGCCTTGTCATTAACCTATAAAAATTGGCTCTTGAACAGAAAATGGGTGATATGCTACTTCTTTAATTGTGAAAATGTAAGAAAAAAAATTAAAACAACAGAACATAAGCATCGATCTTTGAATATGAGATGGACTAAAACCTTTATAATGATTTTGGAGATAACTGTGCTAGACGCGAACACTTAGGTCCAAATCAGTCTTTGTTATCCTTAAAAATAGGAATTCAACAAAGGTTTTATGTTGTTGTTTTTTATATTAAGTGTAATCGTATATTTAAAAAAACAAATTCTTAATTATTGTACAATAGCTAATAATTGTTGAAAATTTCAAACATATTGTTCTGATATATTCTCAAACCTCTAATTTAGTTGTGGCATATTAATAATTATACAAATTTATAATGCGCGATATACAATTATCTATAACATAACGTAATTTTTTTAGGGACAACGAAGGACGTGTTGGTCCATCTCGGCTGTCCCATCCTCTAATCTAAACTATTATAAAAAACAACAACACTTAAAGCCAGGTCTTATCATTCATAAAATTATCAAGCTTTCTCTTAAGCTCACTTATATTTACTGCTCCCACACAACATCCGAAGACAACCCATTCCAGAAGACAACCACTCTGTTAGAAAAACAAACTGTCTTAGCTGAAAATGACTCCTACCTTGCCAAAATTTATATTTGTGTCATCTACTCCTACTGCTCTAATGGTTAAATATGAAAAATGATGATACATCAACACTATCAATTCCCTTTACAATCTTAAACACCTCAATCAGATCCCCTCTAACTCTTGTTTTTTCAAGAGAAAAGAATGAGAGGTTTCATCCTCTCCTCGTATGACAATCCCGCCATCACAAGCACCATTCTAGTAACCCTTCTCTGAACCTTTTCCAACAATTCAAAGTTCTTCCTAATGTAAGGGGCTCAAGACTGGACATAATACTCCAACTATGACCTAACCAGTGACCTATACAATGAAATTATAACCTCTTTATACTTGTATTCAATATTTCTGTAGATACAATCTAAAATACTAGTTGCCTTTGTTACGTATTAGAATTTCGAATAGTCCGAAACCAAGTTAAATAATTTAAATTTAGTAGATAAATTGTACTTTGGGTTTAGTATTTAAATAAATTCCGATATATAATCAGTTTGTAATATTTGCCAACAAGATTGATACACAGTTTTCTTTTTTAACACAAATATGTTTTAATATATACACAACAATACAATTTACAATAACAATTATTACAAATAGTTATTACAAACAATGATTTATAAACAGAAGTTTCACAAACTTACAAACATTATAAAGTTTTATTTCTAGTCTGGAACCTCCTTGATATCTTATCGAGGGTTCACGATGAGCGAGGTAATTACGAGTTGATGTTGATACGATCCGCTGGGAAGCTAGCTAGCTTTGTCCTTCGCCACACACACTAGGTTTTCCACGATGAATTTATATGTCTTCGTAAAATTACTAATGTCTGATGAGATTCCACTGATGTTAAATAATTTGTAACGTTCGAAATAGATAAATATTCCTGGTCAGATATCTTAAGTTTTCCGATTGATAAGCGATATAACAATCACAGTTATAGCTTTCGAAGTTTTATAGCACACTGATATATATATATAGAGAGAACTAATAATAAACACTCTCTTTTGGCACTTCGCGTTGGTTATATTTATAGCCGTGTGAAGACGTTCTAGAAATTTTAGTCTTACGTAACAATGCAAGTTACATTTTAAGCGTTTACATACATACATACATTGTTCATTCTTACTCTCGAGAATCTTCTACAACTATGGAGAATAGGCGGGAGTTTCGCAATACCGATCTAACAGTATAAGCTATGTATGTTTCTAAATATAAGCTTAGTCTAAATAACGTTGATATTAAAATAAATACATAACAATAAATTCATTACAACTCCCTCCTTAGAGAATTAAAAATTGGCTTCAGACAATTTTTAACTAAACGTTATATATATATACATTATATATATAATACTGTTACGTCTCTGGTCGTTAGTTAATTTTCCGTAAAAATTATTTCCGAAGAAACTTAAACGATACAAGTCCTTTCTTAAATAACTCTGGTTTCTTCTTTCTGAATACCACTTTGCAATACACTTAATTTCCACAGTCACGCTATAACAAACGCTATAATTCACAGCGAATGACTCACGCGCTTGACTCAATTGTCCGTCTCTATCTCTGTCTGTAGTTCAATTACCTTGTTGCCGTCACTTCTTGGCGGTCTTATATACAAGAATACCGTACATCTAGTAAACACTCGAGGCTTCACGAAGGTGCATGATTTTTCTAGAAGTTCATGACGTGTTACTAGCGTCACGTGATTTCCGCTGTCGTAACGCTGCCCCTTCCTTAGTATTTTACGTCCCAAACACTAGCCACTTACATTAAAAGAGTAAACAATTAACAATAACTTAATTA